AAAGTTTTCTATTTTGCCCTGCATTTTCCTTGTTACTACCCAGTCTTCCTGTTTATTATTTTTGTTAAATATATGAAATTCTATTAAGAGACTCTCTGAACATATTTTATTTTTATTTATTTATTTTAATATATCTTTATTGATTTCAGAGAGAGGAAAGGAGGGGGAGAGAGAGAGATAGAAACATCAATAATGAGAGAGTCATTGATCGGCTGCCTAGCTCGCAACCCGGCATGTGCCCTGACCAGGAATCGAACCCCGATCTCCTGGATCCTAGGTCGACGCTCAATCGCTGAGCCACACCCTGCCGGGTGAACATATTTTAATATACATAATGTAGATGTTCAGGTTTTTCCAGTTTCTCTTTACAATAGGTATTACTATGGTGAGCATCTTCATGCTTTTAGCTAATTTCCTCCTTTAAAGAAATCTTTTAAAAATTACCTTAATTTTCTCAGGTTATAGCTGTCATTATTACCAAAGTTACCCTGGGTCATTTCAAGTTTGTACATTAAAAAACTAGAATCTTTGTGCTTTTTTCTTGCTATTAGAAATCACGTTTCTTTCAAAAGACAAATTCAAACACTACCAAAGTACCTAGCATGAGAATTATACATCTATATAATCTCCTAATTAATGTGCCACTCAACACTCTCCTCACTCCTCGACTCCATCTCCCCAAGGTAACCAGTTGGCATATAATCTTAATTTTTAAATGATTTCCAATGATTTTAAAAGAGGTCACGGTAGAGTTGAGATTGGTTGGAGGCTCTGTGTCTTATTCCTTCATGGGCCAAAGGACCACAGTCTTTCAGTAACACCAGAGTAAGAGCATGAGGAAAAAACGTGAAGCCACACAATATTTGTTTGTTAATACCCCTTCTCAGTCATTCTAAATATCTGCCTTTAATTCATTCAAAAATATTTACTGAGCGCCTACCATGTGCTAGATACTGTCCTAAGCACTTGGGATGCAGCAGTGAACAAACAAATGTGCTTCCCTTCCTGGAACTCAAATTGAAGCAAGGAAAGAGAAACTACATTAAATCTCAGAAAGTGACTAATGCTATTAACAAAATGTCAAGCTGAGGAAAGACGATTGTTTGGTATACAAGTTGTAATTTTAAATATGGTGATTAGAGTAGGCTGAGAAGGTGACAGAATGTTTTAAGTAAAAACACAGAGGAGGCGTAGGCGTAAGCCTGAGATGTCTTAGGATTCCAGGGCACCTAAGCTATTTCCACAGCACTAGGAGCCCAGTGTTTACTTTCTCCTTGGGAAGAGTTGCTGAATCTATGAAATGCCCCTTCTCAGGCAGATCCACTGATGTGGAAACAGTCTGAGGACTGGAAAGGATCTTTAAAAAGGCACTCAGGTCTGGCTCAGCAGTTGAGCATCGAGCTATGATCCAGGAGATCGAGGTTCGATTCCCCATCAGGGCACATGCCCATGTTGCAGGCTCAATCCCCAGTGGAGGGGTGTGCAGGAGTCAGCCAATCAATGACTCTCATCACTGATGTTTCTATCTCTCTCCCTCTCCCTTCCTCTCTCTGAAATCAATAAGGATATTAAAAAAACAAAAAACAAAAAAAAACATACACACACACAAAACAACTTAAAATTAATTTTTTTAAAGGCACTGAGGCTCTGGCTAGGTAACACAGTTGGTTAGAGAGTCATCCCGATACGCCAAGGTTGTAGGTTCCATCCCCAGTTAGGGCACATACAGTAGTCAACCAATGAATGTATAAATAAGTGGAACAACAAATCGATGTTTCTCTCTCTCTTTCTCTCTCCTCTCCCCCTGCCCCTCTCTCTAAAATCAAAATAAGGCACTTAGTCCAATCCCACCTTTGTTGATTGCATTTTCTCCAAGACATGGGAGGAGCTTTTTTCTCCTGGACTTTCTGTTTCTAAGCTATCCCCTAGAGCCAGTTATCTCTAATCTTTACAGCAATCCTATTTCCCACAGAGGCATAAGGTTAAGGGGCTTGCCCAGTGCCATACAAGCAGGTAGTGGTTAAGCCACAGGCCTGGGTACCTTCCATACCACCCCATGGCCCTACCCATGTTTCACCTCCCTGCAACTCACCCCTTTTCTTTCTAGACCGGCATTCTCAAAACTGGAGGATTCGTTTGAGGCCCTCTCCCTGTACCTTGGGGAGCTGGGCATCCCACTGCCTGCAGAGCTGGAGGAACTGGACCACACTGTGAGCATGGAGTACGGCCTGACCCGAGACTCGCCCCCCTAGCCCTGGCCCAGCCCCCTGCTGTGGGCAGGGCCATCCCAGCTTCCTGTGGATTGGCAGCTTGTTTAGAAGCAGAACAAGCCATCCCCACTACCTCCCCAGCACCAGGGTAATGCATCTCCACAAGTTTTGGGGACTGGTTACTATCTGTAAATCCAACACTTGCCTGAAAACTGTGAAGAACACAAACAAGAAGCCTAGTCCCTGGGCCAGGAGGAATCTGTTACTCATGACCACTCGGGAACTCCCTTGGATTCCGGGCTCTTGCTTACACTAATCAGCATGATCTGGACCCACTGAGCAGAATTCCAGGGTGAACCTACCCCTGGGCTCTGAAGTCTCTGGTCCAGCTGGGGACAGGAGGCCTTCATGCGGTAGTGTGGATGAGAGAAAGACTGGTGGCCAGGCTGCAATCCAAGGATGTGAAATGACAGTGGTGCTACTCTCCTTTCACTCCATCCCCCACCCTCCTCTGGATGGGGGTCACAGAAATAGTTTTTGAAGAGTCTCTTAGTTTGTGGTGGCCAGGAGTCAGGGGAAGGGCTGGTTTCGGTTCACCTCCCAGGCCACATCAGTGTGAAGGGGAGTTTCCACCTTGTGTTCTCAAACTGTACTGCTTAGAAACTGTCTGAGAACTTCTGGGTTGGCATCCTTTCTGACTGCAATAAGTCACCCACAGTGCAGGAAGAGGCTCGGGGCTGGGAAGAAAGAGGCCCTGCCCTTTAGAAAGCACATATCCTGGCTGCTGTTACTCATACCCTGGTGGGCCCCTCAGTCAGAAGCCTGAGACATTTTGCCTAGAGCTGGATGGATTCTGGAGGATAATGTGGCTTGTCATAGGCCTAATGTACGAGGCTAGAGGAGTGGGGATCTCAGCAATTTCTTGGCCTTGCAGCAGCCACTGCCCACCCTTCACCGTGCCTGGTCCAGGCACCAACTTGGATGGGAAGAGGTGGTAGCAGAGTCCCAGAGCTTAGATGCTGGGGGAGACAGCTCCCTGAGCTGGGCATCTGGCTTTGACTTCCCCTGTTGGCTAGCCCACCTCACTAGCTCCTGGCTGCAGCCCTCTGAGCCACAGCCAAGGGTGCTAAAAAACCCCAGGGGCAGCCTCTACCTTGGCTTCCAGAGCTCTGGGGACTCAGCAGAAATAGATTTGCCTCCTCCTAAGTGTCTGTGAGTTTGCACCATATTTAACAAATTGGGAATGGGTTTGGGATATTACTGCGATGTGTGGTGGTTGTATTGGGGGTGGGAGGGAGGAGGTGGGTGGGAGTGATTCAGGAGAATGGTTGCTGTTAATACTGTCTTGTTCTGTCTGTTGGGTGATATGTGAAATACCGTTCATAGACCTGATGAGTTGTGGGATTAGATGTCATCTCTGGCTATGTTATATAGACCATACTTATGTGTGGAGTGTGCAAGCTTGTGGGGTTGAGCCCTGGGCTCCCAGCAGCAGCAAGGTCAGCATTGTGTGGCTGGTTGTGCCTCAGCTGTCCTCAGCAAGCGTGGGAGTGGGGGGCCCAAGTTGGGCTATTGAGCAGACCAAATAAATTAAGCAGTTAACATAACTGATGATACTAAGAGTAAAAAGTGACCTGGGGCCTGGATCAGGGACATACACATGGAGGGTCTGCTGGCCTGTCTGCCAGGCAGTACAGGGCCTCCCCTGCTCTCTTCTATAGGAATGCTACTGGCCACTTTCAGGTCCAGGTCACGTAATTCCCCACAGCAAGTTCTCATGCTTCCTAATTCTAATCCCCTCTCCTTATGTAGACACCAACCTGCTCCAGAGAACATGCACATCCCACCTGAGGCAGCCCAGTCCTTAAAGCAGGTCTGACTCCCACCTATCAGCTGAGTCATTCCTTTGGGGCCCTACACTCCCACCTTGTAATATACATATACTCCTAAAGCCTGGATATCCTAGAGTCCTCTCCGCATGGCTGTTGTCACCTTCATAAGGGGAAAAAATGACTGCAAGTCATTCCCACCCCTTGTGTTTCTCTCTAAGTGCTTGAGAGCAAAAGACCCAGTTCTTGCTTCTGCACATGGGGGATATTGTGGAGGGGTGAGCATTGGGCAGGATGATGCTAGTTGTATCCTGGGCACAGTATAAATCTATATACTCCAAGGTGATTTCTCCCAAAGCTTGAGGAGTCCCAACTTAAGGGTAGAATCTGGACCCTGGAAAAACTGATGCTCTAGTGTACCCCTTGCTGACAGAACTATAGAGAAGTGTCTGGGCATGGGCAGAGATCACCCTGGGTGTTCCTAGAGGCTTAGAACCTATTGCTGAAAGCCCAACAAACACTTCCATTAGTAGCTGCTTCTGGAGCCCTAGGTGTCACCTCCCACACCCCACACCCCGCAGGGACCTTCCTCAGCCCAGAGCTGTTCCTGGTAGCCCAAGGACTCATCCCTCTCTGCACATCCATCCCTCCTTTGGCTACTACAGCACCACCACCCACTTAACCTGTTTCCAGCCCCAGCCAAGGGTTGCCTGGATGATCATTCTAACTACCTCCACCTCGGAAAGAATGCTGAGGGGGAGAGGATTTGCAGTGACCAATCAATCGCCCACTGAGATGCCTGCACACCCATCTTTCCTGTAGCTTCAACCTGAAAGATTCCTGGTGGTGACTGCAGTTACCAACTATTCGTCTGTTGCCACCTCCCAGTGACAGGGCCAGGGCCATGTAGGTGTTGACAAAGTAACCAAAAGCTTCCCAACAAAAACTTGGTAATGTGCAGTCCTTTTTTAAAAAATTTATTTATGTAAGTCAAATGCAGAGCAATTTCCTGTACTTTATACACAGGTATCAGAATGAGGTATATAAAACATGTACACAGAGAAACGCTTTTATAGAAAAGTAGAAACCATTAATATTCTCTTTAGCATCACTAACACCAAGATCCTAGGCCTAGGTCCCCTCAGAAAACCACCCCCAGGTACAGCCTGCTAAAGAGAATGGGCCCCGCTAACCCCCTTCTCCACATGGGGCAGGGGAAGGAAGCTCTGTGGATAGGGAGCATTGCTAAGGCCTTCAAGTGTGACATCAGGTCTTGGAGGCCCTGCTGAGCCGCTGGCACAGTGCAGCACAGTGCTATGGGGAAATGTACTCTCCTCTTGGCCATGCCAGTAACTTTCTCTCTGACCCTGGGTGTCACTTTTCGCCTCTGGGCCTGTGTGTCCAAAAGACTTGAGGAACCCTAAGGTCCCTTCCAATGGTTTTATGACTGTTTCACAGGTTAGCTCCATTGCCCACACTGGAAGGTGCTGGCCTATAGGCCACAGAGCCATCTCCAAACTCAGGCCACTAAAGGGGCAAGCCCTGAAGCACTTTATTACCTTGCCTCTGAGCTTAGTTTACAGGTTAACCTCTCAGAAGCAGCTCACAAGGCCCCACAGTATAATTCCCATAGGTTAGCTAGCAGTTGTCTTAACCCCACAAAATGAAGAGGTCACTGTCCACCTTGGAGAGACTGACTGGGGCACCCCAGGTCCACCTCAGGTCCTGTGGCCTAAGGCATTTGCGGATCCTTCTCTACTCTCTTCCTAAGTGGAATGTTCAATGTGATTCTTCCCTTCCTTTCCTTTCCAAACAAGAAGAGTCCCTGGGCTCAGGCCCACTACTATCAAGGCACATCACTGCCAGCAAGCTGGGGCACACCTGGTAAGCCCCAGCCTAGATCCCATTCTCCACCTACAGTTTTGACTCTTGTACAAACTCATTTCCGGTTCTCAGAGGTCAGTAGGGAGTCCATCCCAAATGTTTTTTAAACTAAATATACTTTTTTAATGCTGCCACTTGACCTGCTTGACCTGAACTATGAGTAACAGTATGTGCCACTCAAGCCCACAGAGAACAAATGGAAAGGCGGATACTTAGATAATAAAGCACAGAGGAGCCTGGGGGAGCTCCCTGTCCATCCCTGATTCAGTTCTGGAGCACAGGCAATATTGGAAGCCCTTGTCAGCAGCACTGCTGTGGGGCTGCCACTGTTTCCATCCATGGGCAAAACCCTGTTCCAAGGGCTGGGGAGAGAGCACTGGTAGGACCCTACCTGGTTTCGCCCTCAGTCAACAGTGCCACCTGCTTCTGTCTTAGGATTCACCAAAAACAAAAGGAAAAAAAAGAAGGGGGAGGGTTTTAACCACAACAAAATGCAGATCCTCCCAACTGTAGGAGAGTAGGCCATCCTGCACCAGTGTCAGCATGGGCTCCTGCCCACTGCGGGGGCTCAGGCCCCAGGAGTGCCTGCCTGGGCCATAAGGGGGGCACTGCCCTCCTGAAGGTCAACTGGAGTCTGATTGGTGTGGACCACAACTGTCTTCTCATCCACCATCTCACAGGTGGGGTTGGTGAAAGCAGACAAGGGCAGGGTGATTCGCTGCATCTCCCTCTCACACATTTTCTGGTCATGCTGCTCTTTCAGTTTCTTCCCCCTGGCAAGAAAAGAGGGAAGTGTTCAGGCTGTCCCTCCTTCATGGCTTTGCTCATTACATGGTACCTCTGAGGCCCAGACAGGCAGGAGGTAGCTACAGTAACCGCAAATCAGTGGCTGAGGTACTAGATTTCTATTCTGCCAGACTGCCTTAACAAGAAACTCCTATACCCCTGGTCTCTTTCCTCATCCGTTAAAGGGGGGTAATCGTAATATGAACCTCACAGAGCTGCAGTGGAGCTGAACAAAGAATGTAGAGGAACAAGGCTCTTAAAGCAAGATATAGTTTTATTCTTTCAGCCCAGGACTCCAAGAGACCCCATAAAGTCCAGAAAACTGACCTGACCATCCTGTCCCAAGACAGTTGTCTTATCCTAAAGTCCCACAAGGTTTGAGCCCCAGCTGGAAATAGGGACTGTCCCCAACCCATGCAAAAGGCAAAAAGGACCCTGAGGGCTGCTTAGGTAAGTGGGAAATAATGAGACAATAACCATCAGACCCCTTAGTTTTTACATGCCTTTGAATTCTCATAGTGCTTAGTGACCCAATCAGGCCACGGTGTTGCCCCATTTACTCCATGCTAAGGACTTTATGTACATTATCATTTCACTTCATTCTCAGCTGAATCCTAAGAATTAGGTCTTAGCATTCATTTTATAGATGAGGAAATAGCCCAGAGAAGTTAAGGAACTCTCCAACCACATGGTGGGCTCAAACCAAAGTCTGTTGGACTCTTAATACTCAGAGTCACCCCAAATAAATGGTGGGGCAGGGACTCAAATCCAATGTTCTGGCTGCACGTGTAGGGCCCTTCCCACTGATGCAGGCCAAAGGGTTTGGCAAGTGCCTAGGACACTGCACAATAAAATCAGTACCCAGGACTCAGGTCAGCATCCTCGGAAGCCAACAACTAGACACATGGGCTCAGCTGTCGGAGGAAATCTTTCTGGAATGAGCCCTTCTTCCCCACAAAGAGGCCCTGCAACTGACAGCTGATGGATGACTAAGTGAAACAATACGGGCCTGCTTCAGACCTCCTGGGGGAGATGGCTGAGATCTGATGGATTACACATCCTTCATGATGTAAGATGCAATGACACAAGTTTCCAGAGACTGGAGAAGAATATTGAGAAAATAACAGGCTGGAAGGGGAGGAGTTTGTACAGGTGCCTCAGAACTGTCTTTAAATCTACCAGTTCTTTTTACTAATGTTCTAGTACCAGCTCAGCCTCAGCTGTGTGACACTTGGCAAAACAGACTCACTGAGCCTTCGTTCCCTCATCTATGAAATAGAGATTTTATCTGCTTCAAAATAAGATCATGAATGTGAAAGCAATTTGAAAATACTGGAACTGCATCAAAGTCAGAGAAGGTTATTATGATTTGCCCTGTATCTGACTTAACTCACCAAGTAATGCTGTCTTATTCTGGTTTCCCAAGGAAATTCTCCCACTGACCAGCCAAGGCAAGTATTGTTTATGTGACCTCAGCAACTCCCCTCCTCCCTGGGGATTTAATTTCATCATCTATAAAACAAGGAGATGGACTTGGGTTCCCCCAAGGCCCCTAACATTCTGTAAGATCCCTTACATGATATGTGCTCTGATTCCCTAGTTCTCACTGTGAGGTCACAGAAGGCAAATCTGTGAGCTCATCTCCCTGAGTCACTGAGTTTCTGAATGTGCAAGCCTGAGGCTCTTGCCCCATCCTTCTCATTGGCCTCTGTACAGGACACCATCAGCTCCAGCAGCAGAATAACTCCCAAAGCACCCAGAGGTGAAATGGAAGAACATGGGGATAGGGTTGTCTGGACCAAATGCATCCCCAATCGAAGCTGAAGATTCACTTTGCCCTTGAGCACTGCTCAACAGTTACAGCTGCTATCACATAAAAGGAAACATCTACCTCCATAATAAAACAAAAGGCCAGTTTCATCCATGTAAGAAGGAACTTGAAAGGTCTGGGTTTAATTTTATTAAGGGAGCCCCCAAGCCGGCAGAAGACCAAAAAGCAATTTACAGAAATGTAGTATGCAAGTTTCTTTTGCCTAGGCCTGAATTTCAAAATATAAGGGTCTGGAGGAAGAGAGTACTTCCTGAGTACCTACTAACGTGCCAGAAAATGGCCTTCCCATCATGCAGGATGAGCAGAACTACTTATACACCTACTGTATGCCACAAACTTTATTTACCATCCTTAATTTCCATACCAACTTTGCAAGATAATATCCACATTTTATAGATGAGGAAACTGGGACTGTTTTCCTCAACTACCTTCTCTACCAAACATCTGGCTGCCAGCTGAGCTGTTGATAATGGTCAGGCTGCATCATACACAAGTCTTTAGGGGGTAATAAGAATTAATTTGTGTTAATGGAGAAGAGCAGGGCTGCAAGAACAGCCAAGGAAGGGTAAAGGAAACAGGTGCTGGGATTCATCTGGATTACAGTCTTATCCATTTAGAAGCCTCAAAACATGCCCAACCCCAAGTGCCTCCTGTTAACGGTGCCTATGAATCCTGGAGATGCAGTGGCTGCCCCCACCTCCCTTCAAGATCTGAGAAAGGCCACTAGGCCTGCTACATTGACCATCAGGCAGCTCAGTCCATTATCACTGCTTTCTTTTGGGGGTGAGGGGTAGGGGTGGACAGCCAGGCCGTTGTCTAGCTACCAAGAAAGAACAAAAGGCTTATTCACTGACTTAGCTCCTCTCCTAAGGAGGTGAAGTGGTGTTGACTTACAATTTTTCCCTTGCCTTTTTTTAAATCAGAAAATAAGCACTCCCTCCTGAGCTAGCACAGACACAGAGCTTAGGGCAGGAACAAGGAACTGTAGACTGGCGGTCTGAACCTCGCGGCCTAGACAACCAGGACAAAGACCCACCAGACTAAGCCCTCACCCATCCACACCTCTACCCTTCTTCCCCTGAGAGAAATCCTGGTGCCTGCCTGCCCTGCCCTTCCGAGCCAGGGGAAGGCTCCATCCCATGAGCCTCATGGCCTTTCGGCAGAGTTCAAGGCTTGCAGTAATTCTATCCCTTACTGCTCCAGGGCTAGGTTCGGGAGCTGGGCTGCCCAGAGAGAGCAGATGTGGATGAAGCTTCTGTTTTAACATCCTCTTTGGGGAAGAGACAGGTGGGTGGGTGGAGGCACTGCAGACCTTCAGGCAACACCGGTTTCTTCAAATTATTCCATAACTCTAAGCCACCACTATTTTCCCAGTCAGAAGCTGTGCTGTGCCACCCTGTTGCTCAGGAAAAGTTCCTCGAGGCAGCTAAGTTATTAACACCAACTGTACGCCCAAACTACACTGTGTCATTTCATCCTCACAGGAAACCTATGTGGTATCTATTAGGATTTCTGTTTCAGAGATGGAAAGGCAGATGCAGAGAGGCTAAATCATTTATTCAAGCAAATGGCAGAACTGGGATTTCAACCCAGTAGTGCCTGCAGCCACCAGCAGATGATATTGTCTTTTTAGGAAATATTAGACTGGGGAAAATCATCATAGCTAACCTCCTGCCCCTACACTGTTTTACAGATGTGGAAACTGAAAAATCCAGAGAAGATAAATGACTTGCCCAGTGTCACACCCAGAATTGGTAGCAGTTCCAGAACTAGAGCCTGGTTCTTTTGATTGAAAACCCAGCTATTTTATTTTGAAAGCTTCTATTTTTCCTATTGTTCTTTGCAATTCAGAGCAAATTTGCATGAAGCTACTCGGCCTCTCTGGACTTTTGGGAGATACTGATAATCCTTAGACACACCTTATTAGCTGTGTAGCTTGGACATTGCACTTAACTCCTCTGGGTCTCAGCTCCTCACTGTAAAACCATGTAGAAATGATCCTTCTAATGTGGTCATGAGGCTTTGGCAAGATCATCAGGGAAGAACATTCAGAATAGCCTTACTTATTAAGAAAGCATGCAATAAATGCTGGCCGCTACTGTAATTGTTTAACCTCACTGGTGTTCTATTTACATTTAATACTTATGATAATCTTGAGGGGTGGGTAAGGAATGGTGTGTGTGAAGGAGGGATATATCCCCATTTCACAGTCAAGAAACTGAGGTGCAGAGTAGCAGAATCTACACTCAACAGCTCTTTCCAGGGCAGTCTGGGAGGAGCTTGCCTTAGCACACATGAGGCTTCCTGTTGTACAGTCTGTACTGAACTCAGAGTACTGAAGAAAAGGGTGGTCTGGTGCTTAGCGACAGGAAATGTGGCACCTTGCCCTGAGTTGACAGGAAGGTAAATTCTGAGAGCTAAGCTCAAAATTAAGAATGTTTAGCCAGCCCAGCTGGGCGTGGCTCAGTGGTTGAGCATGACCTAGGATCCAGGAGATCACAGTTTGATTCCCGGTCAGGGGCACCGGCCTGGGTTGCGGGCTCAATCCCCAGTCGGGGGTGTGCAGGAGGCAGCTGATCAATGACTCACTCATCATTGATGTTTCTCTCTCTCTCTCCTTCTCCCTTACTCTCTCTGAAATCAATAAGGACATATTTTTTAAAAGAAAGAAAAAAAAAGAATGTTTAGCCAGTTCAAGTACCTGCAAGCCTGGAAACTCACAAGATTGGAGGAGTGAGGAAGGAGGGCTAAATTCGGCCAACATGGTTTAGTTCTGACTTTGAATTATAGGCCAGGGCCACCACATCATTTCATCTAACTCTCTGAAATGAACAAGCAGGTGTCCCTTCCACATCAACCACCCCACTGGGTGCAACCACCTTGGACCGGGACTCAGGAGACCTCCTCACGCATGTCAATACTTCCCCTCTCTGTACCTCTGCTTCCTGAATCACAGAAAACCACAGAAAGAAGAGGGCTTGGCTTGGAGGGCATTGGTATAGTACCCACATTTTACAGAAAAGAAAAACAGCTATTGTTTATGATCACTGAGCTAAGCAGTCACATGTTCACATGTCTTAGCAACAGCAATGCTCTGGAGCAGGAAATAAAAACCCAGTCACACAGATAGCTAGTTAGTGGCAGGGCTAAGACTTGGCCTCACCAAATGCTAGGCATGTGAGCTCAGGCAAGGTACATATCCTCTCTTACCTCAGCTTCCTGATCTGTAAACTGGGGATAATAACAGCATTTGCCTCATAAAAGGAATTATGAGAATTGAGTTAAAGTGTGCAAACTGCTTGAAGCAATGTCTGGCATATGGTAACTGTTCCCTACTGCTGCTATTATTGTTTTTGTTGTTATTATTACCAAATACTTCCCCTTTTCATCTGTAGAACGAGGAGGTTGACTATTTCACCTCTAAGGACACCTGAGATTTACTTAATCCTGGGAGATCCACTGGGGCTCTGGGCTCAGACATGGCCCTCACAACTGCGAAATGTAGGCCACCATTTCACTTCCCTTACAGAAAGACTTTTCAGACCATGGAGAGAAATATTACACTCAGTTCTGGAAGTCAAGTGCCCTAATTTTGCCCAAGAATGGCAAATAATTTTCCCAAAGTCAGCCAGTCCTGTAAAAATGAATGCAACTCTGGCTTATTACCATGCACCTGTCACTGACTTTGATAGCCTTTCCTATATGGTAGCTTAGGGGCCCTCTCAAAATCAGCATTCCTCCTACTGCTGTCCCAGCAACAGGCCATGTCCCTGAGTTTCCCAGGTAGCCTCTTTGGCTTTCTGATATGTGGTGAGGAGCAGTAAACAGGTTCTCTGAGCTCCAACTCAGTTTTTTCCTCCTGTCCTAGAGGAGATGCTTATGGCTCAGGAAATTCAAGCCCCAATGTCAAAAGTAGTGGGTGGGGATCTCTTCTAGTAGCAGAATTTCGCAACTCCCAGAAAAAGTTCCATCTTGGGGTCCCTGCAACAAGTGTCCAGCCTGATTTCTGCAGTGCCCCTCACTTCCACACCAGACACACTGGATTAGACATTGGGGAATTTGGTGTAAAAAAAAAAGCTGGGTTTGAATCCATGTTCTGCCACTCCCAGGCAGTGTGACCTTGGGTGAGTGACTTCACCTCTCTGACACAGGTTTCCTCATCTCTAAAATGGAGAATAAGAACTCCTACCTCACAAGGTGTTGGGGTGAGGAGTAAAGGCATTAAAAGAAAGGGGGTTTGCCCAAGGTCACCTGGTAAAGACTAGAAACCAAGTTTCTACACCTTGAGCTGGTTTCCCTTTTCAACACCTCACTTTATTTCTGGGTAAGAACGTTACAAAGGAATCTGATTTGACTTTATGTACCCTTCACCCCTCCTCTGAGGGCGCCCAGAAGAGAAGTTACTGACCTCTTGTAGGTATATACCACGATGATGCCGATCCCAATGGTAATGATGATCCCCGTCATGATAATGCCCAGCACATAGCCTGCCGAGGACAGGACACAAGGCCCCATTAGCCATACCCCTGACAACCAGCAAATATTTCTTCATGAATCCCATAAGGACAGGGGTAGAGCAGTCATACCCATGACTCCCGGGTCCTTTTTCTCCTTGGAGTTCGTCCGAACCCGCTGGCTGATTCCAACCACTGGCCGCACAGCCGCTGCCCCGCTTTGGCCGGGCAGGGCATTGGCGGGAGCGAACAACTGCACCTCTTCTCCACTTGGCACTTCAGGCACCTCCACGGTTTCGGTTTCTGTTCTGGAGGTTAGCAGGTCCTGGGAAATAGTCTCTGGAGGCAAAGTGCAAAACAACTCTCATCAGAGAGTGGTCTGAGTGAATTCCACAGCTGAACCTGTCCTTAGCGTTGGGGGAGGTGAGGAGAATCCGCCTTTAGAATGACCCGTACACCCTGAAATCAAACCCTCCACCGTCGGCAAGGCCTGCGAGGGCTGCACCAGAGCTGGGACAAGGCAAATGTGAGGGGAAGGTCCTAAGAAAGGGCCTCTCCTGCCTCCCACGTCTTCATCTGTTCAAACCCTCGCTAATCTTCCAACACGCAGGTCAGCCGCCATCTTCTCTAGGCATCCACCATCACGCCTCCGGGCAGCTCCCATTTAGTGAGCCCACGCCTTGTGCCAATCCCCAAGTTACATTTGTACACAGTCCACTTAATCCTAGAAAAGTGTCTTACTGCCTCAGGAGTAACAAGCCTGCGCTCTGGAATCTAAGAAACTTGGATTCAAGTCTGGACTCTGCCATTGCCTCAGGAAGTCGCTTAACTTCTCTGAGGCTCAGATCCCCCCAAACGGCTTCTTCCTGGGGGGTGGGAGGGTAGGGGCTGTGAGCAGAGGATAACACACAGGGGATCCCCCACAAACGTTCAGTAAACGCTGAAGGGATCGCTAAGAGTCGGACCCGGTCGCGGGTCCCTGAGGCTTCCGGCTGCGGAGCTCGCGGCCCAGGAGCCGGGCCTCGCCTCCCCGGGTTGTTTACAAGGCGCTCGCCGACGACCAGCTCATTCCGAGCTGCGGCGGCGGCCAATGGGCTTTGGGCCCCGCGGCCTGGAGACAGTCCTGGCCAATCGGATGGCACGGGGACGGGCAGGGCCGGCCGGCGCCGTGCGGCCGCACGTGCGCGGCGGCTGTAACGGCCCCTCTCGGACAGCCCTAGGCGCGGGGGTCCCGGGTGGGTACCTGGGCAGCGCAGGTTCTCGCAAGGCCGCTTCTCGGGAGCGCCGGTCTGGCCGCGGACGTAGCACCAGGGCCCGCGCGGGTCCCGGTCCGGGTTGCGGCAGTAGCTGTGGTTGCCGGCGCCTGGGAGAGGAGAGGAGGCGCCATGGGCCGGGGCCGGGACTGCCGCCGCCGCCCGCCCGCCGCCCGGGGCGGACACTCACCCGACTCCGGGGCAGAGGCCAGGCTGCTCTGCGCATCCAGCCAGTTGAGGCAGCTGAGGCCCGGCGCTGGGGAGGGCTGGTCCGCCCGGTACAGGTGGCCGTTGTCCCAGAAGCAGCCTGTGAGGATGAGAGGAGTTCCCCAGACACTGGTTGGCAAGCATGGGATCCCAGGTCTCCTGGGCTGAGAGACCCTGGACCCTGCTGGGCTTCCTGACTCACGGGGAAAACACCGTCGGTGCCTGGACCTAAGCTCTTTTTTTTTCTTTTTCTTTTTCTTTTTTAAAGCCGGAAATCACTCCATTGCCAAGAGTTGCTGTTCTGGAATTTGTGGTCCCGCGGGAGGAGGGTGCGGGGAAAACCTGGGTGTTTTGGTTCGATGGGCAGCCCGGCCTGAAACTCATCCCTGTGTTGTAATTCCATGTTACATAAATTCTGGTGTTCCCTTCTCCGCAGATGCGGCCACAACTTCCATAGGGAACACTCCCTCCTGAGAGAATGCTACAGAAGCCTTGATTCAGGCAAAAGAGAGTCCCAAACGGAGGGAACCTGCCTCATACGCTGCCTGGATGTAACTCCAGACTCCCACTCCCCTCAGCAGCAGAGCCCTAGGAAGAGGCTGGGGAAGGAGCGCTGTGCTCTGGCCACACCATCTACGTAATGCCTCTGAAAAGAACAGGAATTAGGGAGTAGGGGAGATGAATCCCCAAGTTCCATCCACTCATGAGCCGCAGGCAAGTAAAAGGAAAGTGGCTGCTTGCCTTTGTTCTTAATGGCAAAGATGGAGCTGCAAGCCCCCGACAAGGAAAAGAAGGAGAGAGGAAAAAAAGAAAAGAAAGCTTTCATAGGACAACAGAAACCGGCTAAAAGCTTCCATTCCTGTCATCTTCATGTGTAGCCTGGGCATGCTTGGGAAACAGGGAGCTTTACCCTCTCTGCTTCATTAAGTTGCTGCAGAAAGATTGTAATCTTACCTTCAGATTCATAGGCTTCTGCTAGAAGCATGTTGCTGATGAGGAATGTTTGCAGCCAGGCCAACAGCATCCTCAACACCTTCATCTTGCAGGTGATTGACCGACCGGGGTCCTTTCGGTGGCAGTTGTGCCTCCAGATCTCAGCCCTGCAGTGAGACCTGCCCTTGTTATTCTTTTTTGGTAAACAGCCTCTCTAGAACTGGGAGCTTCTGAGCTAGCTTGCTGCCGGGAGGTGTTTTCAACTGAAAGGCTCCCCCTGGGTCCTAATACCATGCAGGCTACTGACCAAAGAGAGGAACTCAGCCAAGTGAAGAGAGGCAGAGAAATTCAGTTTATACTTAGCAGTGGATCAGTTTGAGATCTGCACCGCCTGCATCTTCAGGGCTTTTCATCTCCTCTTTCCATTTGTGTGAGTACAGAAAGAGTAATTCTGTCGAGAGGCATCATTGGAGGGAGGGAGATCTGGAATTATAGTCACTAAGGCAGAACAACTTAGAGAGGACATGCTAGCTACAACCAAGAGTGACTCAAGACCACAGAGGGGGGCACAAATAACTATTCAGGTGGAAGTGACTATACCCCTTCTTGAAAAAGAAAAAAGGCCTATGTGGGTTACATATGAACACTGACTTTTTTTTCTTTTTAACAGTGTATCTTTGCCAGGCTCAGATCAGTCACATTCCTTTGCTTATATTTGGATTTTGGGGTGTCATGTATAGTAGGAATACAGAAGGGGTCTCTTTAGTTGAAAACACATGTTATGCAAATATTGGAGCATTTGCGCAGCTATACTTAATAGTCTGTGCTTTCTACCAGCCCTGAATTCATATAGAGGAAGTTAAATGTTTGCTTTCTTCCCCCTACCCTGTATGAAATCATTTGCAGTGATTTATACCCATCATTAAACAACACATCCATATGACTTAGGCCTTTGGAGTTAGGCAGAAGGGTCCTCTTCCTCTTTGGCTGACAGCTCACGTTCTTAGGCAGCCTCAGTAAACTGAAAGATAGAGCAGAGTGACTGGCCTTGTGACTCAGACAACTCTGAAAATAGAAATGGGAGACTGTTTCCATCTGAGGGCTTACATCTTGCTGGCAGTAATTTAGGGAGGAGAAAAAAAAACTTGACTAAATAAGTTTTGAAAGTTTTATCAAGGAAGAAAACTAATATCTATCCAACTAATCTGAAGTGTATTTGAATTCACACCAGTCATATAGCAAACACAGAAAGGCCAGAGATAAATTTAGTTTACTCAAGATAAGTTTGCTAACAGTGTTTGATTCTTTCAGTCCTTTTAATAAGATATGTTGCTTTGTTTTTGCAATCACTCTTATTTATCTCCTCAAACAAGTTCCCAGTCCTCTGACTCCTGAGTTGGTCCATACTGGCAATCGCACCACAGAGTCAGTTTACTCTCTCTCACACATGTATACATGGACGGGCCAAAATTTTAGAATTTAACAATTCTAACAATATTCAGAGGTCTTTTTTTTAACACTTTTATTAAGTTTACAAATTTTTTGAGAGCCTACTACCTGCTAGATTTAATTCTAGATGCTGAGAATATATCTTCAAACAAAATATTTGAAATCTCTGCCCTCATGGAACTGATACTCTAGTTGGGAAAGACAAATAATAAATATATAAATGTCAGGTGGTCTTAAATGTTGTGGGGGAAAAAAGTGAAACATAGTAAGGGAGAGAGTAACGGTGTGATATTTCACTTGTTAAAGAAATCTTACACTATTTTCAGGAAACCAGTAGGACATTTCTACAGACAAAGGCTGAGGGGAAGGGGTTTCTTTGCACAGTTTTCCTTGCAGATGCTAAATACTCCTTAACCGCTGCAAGAAATATATGATGTGAATTTTGTTTCATTACCTAAAATATATAGGCTTGAGAAAATGACGATGCAGTTTTTAATTTTAGAGTAGCAGGATGTTCTTTTGAATTGATCCCTCATCACCTAATGTATTGCCTTTGTATGCAGTGAGTGCTCAATTAATGTCTGACAAAATGTTCAACCTTAAACTCTGAGGGGCTACTTCTGGATTATGCAACTTTTCTCTCTCATTATGTTAAAGATAGGTTGTACAAGGCCAGCACTTGTACCATTTTCAGATTATTTACCATGTCCATGTTGGGGTCCCAGTATTTCTTTCTTTTTTTTTTTTTTTAAACATATCTTTATTGATTTCAGAGAGAGGAAAGGAGGAGGAGAGAGAGAGATAGAAACATCAATGATGAGAGAGTCACTGATTGGCTGCCTAGCCTGCAACCCAGGCATGTGCCCTGACCGGGAATCGAACCCCGATCTCCTGGATCCTAGGTCAATGCTCAACTGCTGAGCTGCACCCAGGCGGGCAGGGTCCCAGTATTTCATTATCAGAAGCCCAAAGCTTCTTTACCTGTTGCTATTATCATTTAATTTTTCTATTTAAGAAACTGCTATCTTCCCTAACTTACAAACTTTGATATGTAGCAAAACCATATTTTTTGCCATGTATCTTATCAGGAACAGCATTGCCTAGAAAAGATAGATGAGAGGCCAAAGAGGATTTTTTTCAGCTTAGTTATCTCTGCTTTTTCTCTCCTGTAACTAATACATTTATCAGTATGATCTGATTTTGGGGAGAAATGATGGGCTTGTTACTCAGTCCTTCATAGGCATATTCTATTATAACAAGTTCAGTACCTTACTTCCTCAGGGAAATCAGATTTAGGTTAGAGATGTGGCTGTCATAATCATTGATGATGTTTTGGTCTTTTTCTCATGATCCAGATTTGAACTTTGCGTCATATATTAGTACAGTATGGCCATGTTTTAAGCCTGTAGTTACCCCAAACTTCATATCTCTTCTGGAAATATTGCTACAACAATAACATAATACAGAATTACTTGCATGCTGATTTTGGACTGTTTCTATCCCTCAAGACAATGCTCTGAAATATAATACTCATTTTACTGAATTTTTCAGGGATGTTTGACTATTGGTTTCATATTAAATCAGTTACTAATCCAGAGAGATAAAGCCCAATTTTTAACCAAGGAAATAGCCTCCAGAGCATTTCCCAAGAAGGATGGTGGTTCATTTTGATAACGTGTGTTAGTGGAAGATCTAATAAGGAAGCTACAAAGCTATTAAAAGGCTTAAGTCCTTTTTGTCCACAGGAGAAGGACAAGGTGTTGGTAAAAATCTCTTCATATCATATGCTGTACAAGTAGCCACTGAGATTTTGCTGAAAGGTATTTCAGTGTATAATTGCAAACTGAGCAGGGGATGATTTTATGAAGCTTGTTAAGGAAATAATAGTACAGTCAAAATATCTAAACCTAAGGTCGTTTCTTTGAGAATATGACCTTCAGTGATTGGGTTATTTCTATTTTGGTACATAGTTAAGTGTTTAATAAATGTTTGAAATAAAGGGGGGAAAAGCAGAGTACTATGAAAGGAAAAAAGTCTAATAAACCTACAGAGAGTAGTAATTTTTAAGTGTAAACAATAAAACAGCAGAAGTTTTGTGGGTCACAAGTTACTTTTAGAAACAAGACATGCTACACTGGGGAACTGAGGAGCCACAAAAGCAGAGAACTTGAGAACATCACACCACTGGCTCTGAAAAGTAATGGGAAGCGTAAATTGCTGAATGACAGTGGATTTTGACAGTGGCCCGCCTTAGAAAACATGGCTTTCACATTGAGGGAAATGTGGTCTTCAGTGTCTTAGGGAGAATGCTAGAGACTATAAACTTAATTAGTTTGTAAAACTAGGCTGTCAGTATTTATAGTAGATTAACCTAGTAAGCTACAACTATGCCTCTTTTGGAAGGGAATCTAATATTCTCCAACCTTAGTAAACTGGATCTACAGCTTTTAAAATTGGTCAATACCCAGTATGAGCTTTAGCGATGCAATTTAAAGCCAGAGAAGCACTACGTTAAATAAATAAGAGTGTTGGCTTTGGAAAGAGCTGGATTCCAGTCTCAGCACTACAGTATGATCTTAGGTAAATTACTTAGCGTTTGTAATTCTAAGTTTCCTTAGCCCATTATTATAGTGGTTAAGGGTACAATGTCGGGATTCAAATCCCAACTTTGTCACTTACTAATGATGTTGTCTTAGGGAAGCTGGTAAACCCTCTATGACTCAGTTTCCTCATATGGAGAGAGAGAGAGAAATAGTACCTACATCATTGGATTGTAGACATTCATTGAGCCCTGAATAAATGTTAGCTGTGTCAGTTTTTGTGTCAGTAACTTCTGACTTAGAAATACTTATCTTCTAAAAACTTACAGTCTGGTTAACACATATTAAAATACAAGCAATATAAGGTTTTTATAAATAGGTGTGAAAGAGTGTGATACAGACAAAGGTTTATTGATTCAGTTATTATTTATTAAGTGTCTACTGTTCACCAGACGGCACTAAGCTGAGTACTGAGGATACAACAGGGAACTCTACAAGGTCCTTGTTCTTGTGAAGCTTATAGTCTTGTGATAGAGCAGATACTAGTAGACAGGCCAAACAACAGAGTGAAATAAATGCTACAGTAGAGATTAGTACTAGGGGCTGTGGAAGCTCACAGGAGGGGCATATGGCCTAGTTTTAGAGAGGTCAGAAAAGGCTTATCAGAAAAAGTAAAATAGGAAGGGGCAAGGAGTTAGTGTTCTTGCAGGTCAGACAATGTGCAGAAGCCTGGAAGTGTAGGCTATCACTGTGGCTAGTGGAACATCCACAGTGGCGATTAAAATGAGCCCAGCAAACAGAAACATGAAGCCAAAGAGGTAAGCACTTGTTGACCAGGCTGTGGAAGTTCCCCAGTGTGGACTTTATCCTAAAGACAGTGAGGAGCCAGTGAAGAGTCAAGCAGGAGAACGACAAGAATCAAACTTGCATTGTCGTGAGGTCACTCTGGCCGCAGTGTGGAAGGTTAGAGGAAGCCAAGACAAAGCCAGAGATCAGCAAGATGCTTTTGTGTGATTTATGTAAGAGAAGAGTGAGCCTGGGCCCACAATTGAGTCATGTCACCTGGGTTCGAATCCTGCTTTGCCACATAATAGCTGTGTGACTCTGCAAGTTACTTAGCTACCCTATGTCTCTGGAGGTTTGTTGTGAGGATTAAAGCACTTAGTGCTCCATAAATGTAGGCAGTGAGGCTGAAGAGAGGCAGTCTAGGCAGACTAATAAGCAAGAGCTAAAAAGAACCCATTGGCTTTAACAAGAAGGCGGCCATTGGCGATAAAGGATTTGGTGGTAGTGGTTGTGTGCGTGTGTGTGTTGGGGGGGATATATGTATGGATTATGGAAAGAAAGGGAGATGGTGACGGGAGATTCTGAGGATAGACAACTTCAAGAAGTGAAGGTGAGAAGGACTGGAAGTGGCTGGAGGGATTAT